TCCATCTATATGTAAGGAATATCTTAACCTCCGTTTACGATTCCCAAATACAGCAGCAGTAAGGACTTATCGCGCTGCCGACGGATCGCGCAAGGGGTCTCCAAACACGGGAAAAACCCGTGAAATTCCGATCGCAATGCCGGCGCTTCGCGAGTCCGCCTTACTGCTGCTTCACGAATACAGTTCTCTATGGTAGACACAGCTTCAATTTCACTGGAAGTGTCAGATTGTCTAAACGACAGATATAACTGTGCGTCGATCGCGCATGCATGAGCAGATGGTAGGTGAGACTTGAGGATGTCAAACAATGTACTCGCTTGGATGGTGAAGAGCAGGGGGCCATGAAAGGAGCCTTGARGAACCAACATGCATGATCATGTTTCTGTGATGAAATTGGTAGCACAATATTGAAACAGTCTTTAATAGCCAAATTTGAAAGTTATTTTTTTCAATCGTTCTTCTCATAAACAACGTCTGTGTAGGAGGAGATGTATTTCCTTGCGTTTCCTTCCATTTTGGTTTAATAATAATAATAATGGTAATAATAATAATAATAAATGGTCTAAAAATTGTAAGAAAGTGTCAGAAATGGGTAATTTCACAGAACTGTGAGATTGTGAAACGTCTGTACAATTGTTAAATTTGTATACATCTTTGTAAAACCAGTCATGCAGATATTTGCTTAGACTATTCATGCACGCAATATTCTGTATTCATGTAGCAAAAATGTCTGGAAGTTGAAATAAACTTTATTTCACACAGAATTCAGAAAGATAACCACTTATTTACACTGAATTTACTACATTTACAAATATAAATTAGAAAATGAAAAATTAATTAGTAATCACTAAAAATACGAAAAGGAAATTCCTAAAAAGATCCCTAAAAAATTCTAAAATTATCATAATATGTGTAAAAAATCTTAATTTAGATCTTATTAACCGAGCGGGAGGTCTGTACGGGATAATCTTGACCGAGGTCAGAATGTACAGACCGAGCGCCGCTCGGTCTGTACCCGACCGAGGTCAAGATTATCCCGTACAGACCGACCAAGCTCGGTTGATAAGAGTTTTATTATATGACCACTTTTCATTGAAAAGGATAAAATGTTTTCGCCGTAAGATTAATATGCGATCGGACCGGTTAATACCGGAGAATCTAGACCAGTCCGCGATGCGATCTATCCGATCAGATTGCTCGATTTGCTAGTGTCCAGGCTCTAAGATTCACGGTCATATAATAAATATATATTATCTATGATTTGTGATGTATTAGTATTTGTGATGTATATTTCAGATATATATTTTTCCTTGAAGCGGAACGTTGGTTTGGATTCGGCTTTTGTCAAAAATCAACAGAATATTAGAAGAATGTTTCGCATTTTAAATTTCGAATTGTTTTAATGGTATGGATTGTTTAAGCCTGATTGTTAATCAGAACACTTTTTCGTAAAAGAGATTGCAAGCTATTTGAAAATCATCTTCAGCGATTATACTTCCCCAGCCTTTATTTTTTGTGCTGGGCCTATGGGCACAGTACATTTGTTTTTGGTGAGTTAGGTATGATCGGAATTTAGTTTTACGAACATGAGACCTATATCGAAGATGCCATTGGTGGACCTCGTCATGATTGACATTGGTGAAACACGAGGTAAAAATGCATGCACGTCGAGATCTGTGAGATCGGGAAAGAGGTTGAACATATGTGGTTTTCGTGGTAAGAGTGCCTTAATCCAACTTACTTTAAACTTAATTTGGTAGT